TGGATTGCTCTCCTGTCCTCAGGTGTGGATGCTTTACCCCAGAGTGTGGTGTCATCTGCAAACTTGGCCAGTCTGCTTCTGACACCAATGTCCACATCATTGATGAAGATGTTAAATAGTATAGGCCCTAGGACAGAGCCTTGAGGGACCCCGCTGGTGACTGGAAGCAATTAATCCATTTCAAGACGGGTCCATTTACACCTGGCTATAGCTGTTTGATGATCAGTGGTTTTAGACCCAACATCATTGAAGACATCAAGGCTCAGTAACCCTGGACTTAGAGGATTGTGTCTAGAGAGTTGCTATGAACAGCCTTAAAAATAAGCAGAGCGACTGAGTTTCAGGACTGCTCTCCCCTTATTTTCAAAACTTCTTCCCCTTATTTTCAACCAGCTCCCAAACACTTCAAGACTTTTAATTACAGGCCTTTTGACTGTTGTTCCTTTTCACCGTTGCTGATGCCGATACTGCACAGTTAAACCGATTCCAGTTACGTGTCACTTAATAAATCCTGAAGATAACTGGTTTATTTCAATGTAGCCAAGAGGCAAAAAACTGGGACTGTCATTGTGTGGGGCAGCTACAAGTGGGTATGTTAAAGTCAACGGGAGTTTTGTAAGGCCACTTTTCTGGGTTCAACCATTTACCTTTTGCTGTTGTCTTCATGTGATATCTTCAGTCCATCTACCTTAAATAGATCTAGATCATCCTGGACTCCAAATGTCTCCTGCGGGCTGTTCTTGTTCCCCTTCTGACCGTGCTTCTTTTCCTTCTTTTTCTCCATCAGATTTTGCAGCCTCTTCTGCTGCAGCTCCTGGAGAGCCTTAAACTGGAGCTTTAAATGTTCATTCACTCCTTTATCCGACTCCATTAGTTACTAAAAGCAAAACAAGGGGGAGAAAAATTGCTCAGGGTTATAGAGTGGCAGCATGTTCAAAATTACCTTCCTCCGAAGACCTCAATATGCCCTTCTTTCACTTCTGCAATTTGGTATGTGCCACCTTTTCCCCGATGCTCTCCTATTCATCCTTTTTCACCAAAAGGGCCTACAAATGTGTCTTTGCCACTAGTAAGAGGCCTCAAGTTTAAGAAAAATAATAACTAAATCACGTCCCGAGGCCACTGTAAACCACTGGGACACCTTAGGTGCTGTCACTAAATCATTTAAAGAGAAAATCCAAACAACCCGAATCAGGGTACTAACAAAAGCACGCTATATTTTGGCTGCTATTAAAAGCAGAGGAGCTGCCATATGGCAGCAAACTCTGAGCCCGCTATTTTTGGGCTGTTATAAAAAGCGGAGGGCCTGCCATATGGCAGCAAACTCTGAGTTTAGCTGCTCCAGTATCCTGCTGCCAGCACAGACTTATCATCTGATGCTTCAGAGTGGAGACACAAGAAACTCAAATTGGGCAATGTGGAATAACCATCCCTCCATGATTGCCTAATTACTAGGGACCCTGGAGACCTCAGGCATGTCATTTAATCTCTTCCAAAATCCAAAATTGCTATAAATCTAGATATTCTTGCCTCCCATATAAATGCCTGGTCCCTTTTGAGATCTTGCTATGTTCTTGGCTTTGGTTTTAGCTTCTTTCCATCATCCTCCCTTTGCTGGACATCCCTCTGGGATGCAACCAGGGCTCGTGGTAGAGGTGGCATCTTTTATTAGACGAACAAGATTTTTGGAAAAACATTTTCTTAAAGGCAGGCTTTTGGGCACAAACACCCTTCATCCGGGATGCCAACTCTTCTGGCAGGGGCAGCATAATCCTAACAGTCTGTAAAGTGCATGGAACACAACTGGCCTGATATAAATTATCCATAATATTAACGTCCAAAGTCGTGGTCTCAAAAGAGTAATTAACACACGTATATTTCTCTCACCACAGCACTGTAGAAACATAGAAAAATAAGGCTGGCAAGGACCCGGAGGTCGCATCTAGTCCCATCCCTGCCTGAGGTGGGAACATCCCTATCCAAACCATCCCATACACATCCTTGTTTAACCTATTACTAAAATGACACTAGGGATAGCACCCTACCTTGCTACAGGTAAAGCAGGGGGACAACAGCGGTCAATGTCCTGCTGCCGCAAGGGTTGTTAAATGTGCTGGAGAGGAAGAGGACCAGGCTACCCACTACAGAGGAGGGCAAAACCCCGCAGTCCATACCATGGGGTAAATAAATCCCATCCTGACCCCAATTGTGGCAAAGGGATCTGGAGGACCAGGAACCTCTCGGTATCATTCCCTTTTTATTTTCCTTTCGATTGCAATTTTAAAACGTAGCGTTGGCTTCTCCCTGGTCTCACGTCCGGTCACCACATTCAAACTCCCGTCCAAATCAATGGGCACAGATCGCTCCATCTGCAGCCCGAACGACGTCCTCATCGATGCGTGACTCCCCGCGAAGATTTCACCTGTGGGGGCTCAAGATGCCGGCTGGGGGCTTGCACTCGACTGCTTAGAGCGAGTCTTTCCTGTGCAAATTCCCGGGAAAGACCCCGGCACGGCAAGATAGTTCGACACTGTGGATCCTTATGGGAAATCTCTGGGTCTGGCTTGGGAATTGCACACGGGGGCTGATGCTAACACCCCTCCCACCCTGCCCTGTCTTCTGTCATCCGATCCCTTGATTTCTGCGCCTCCCAAACCTCGTCAACCTGGAGGCAGCGGGTGATGGATTTGAGCCCCCCCACCAACATGAGACCCCTCAAAAACCCCCAGAGCCCTGCTTTTGCTGGGTTTTTTGACTGCAGGGCTTTGCCTAAAAACCTCCAAGGATAGAGATCCCACCACCGCTCTGGGGAACCTGTCCCGGTGCTTTACTACCCTCCTAGGGAGGAAGTGTTTTCATATATCTAACCTCACCTTTCCTAATATCTAATCTAAATCTAAACAAATAAGGCATTTTTACCTGGAGCGGGGAGCATTTTAATTAGAGCAGCTCTGAGAGCCGTTCTAATTAAAGTGCCGCAGCATCTCGTGTATCAGCGACCCCGCGCCTCGCAATGGTGGCGGGGGCGCTTGAACTAACACTTGTTTGACACACTTTAAGTAAAGCCCCCCCCCAAGCCCGCTGCCAGCTTGACGCTGGGGGACGCCGGCGCACGAGACGCGAGGCATTTCCTACGCTCCAGCAGACTCGACCGCCCGAGTCGGTGCCGACGCGCGGTCACGGCACGCGGGACCCCTCGCGCCGCTCGGGCAAGAGACGGTGCTGCCACGTCCCCGGCCACCTGCTCTGCGCTCCCGAGCACCGTGCAAGCCCGGCTTGCTTCTTCTTTTCTTTTTATCCTGATTCTTTTATTATTCTTCGTATTTAATTTAATTTAATGCAAGGCTTGTCTTTTTCTTTTTATTCTTCTTCTTCTTCACTTTAATTCAGTGCAAGTCCAGCTTGCTTTTTCTTTTTCTTTCATTATTCTTATTATTTAATTTAATGTAATTTAATGCAAGCCCAGCTTGTTTTTTCTTCTTTTTTAAATTCTTTTTCTTTCCTTATTCTTGTTTAATGAAATTTAATGCAAGCCCACCTTGCTTTTTCTTTTCTTTTCTAATTCTTTTTCTTTCCTTATTCTTATTAATTTAATGTAATTTAATGCAAGCCCAGCTTGCTTTTTCTTTTCATTTTTTTTCTTTCTTTAGTCTTGTTTAATGTAATTTAATGCAAGCCCAACTTGCTTTTTCTTTTCATTTTTTTCTTTTTTTCTTTCTTTAGTCTTGTTTAATGTAATTTAATGCAAGCCCACCTTGCTTTTTCTTTTCTTTTTTAAAATTCTTTTACTTTCCTTATTCTTATTGTTTAATTTAATGTAATTTAATACAAGCCCAGCTTGCTTTTTCTTTTCATTTAATTCCTTGTGTTATGCTTTCATTATCCTTATGAAAGAATAATTCCTTTGTTATGCTTTCATTATATGCTTATCTTATTGTTTGATTATTTTATTATTTAATTGTGGGGTTTTTTTGCACAAATCTCTATACTCATTTTAGGGCTGGGGTCCCCTGCAGCCCCCACCCCCCCCAGGTGCTGCAGTCAGTCTGCAAGGTGCACCCCCGCACTCACCCGGCTCCGCGCCGCACGCCCCGCCCCTCCCGGCCGGGAGCAGGACGCGGTTGCCGCGGCAACCATCCCCACGGCGACGGCTTCCGGGCCCTGCGCGCGGGGCTAGCCGGAAAGTAAGGTGGGGGCATTTACGACAGCTGCTGGAAGGGAGGGGGGAGGGGCCAGAGGGAAGGAGGGCTGTTGCAGCTAGTGCATGGGGAAGACAGGAGCAGGAGGGGGATGGGATAAATGCCCCCCCACCCACATTGTGGGGGTGGGAAAGGGCAGAGCCCCTTTTCTGCATGCTAGAAAACTGTGTGTGGGGGGGGAAAAATATCCAGTGCACCCCCCTTGCTCCCAGCAGGACCAGCCCCAGCTGGAAGGCAATGCTTCCCGAGATGCTGCTTTGCTCGCCCTACCCACCACCCTCACCTTCACTTTCCTCTTCAGCAAAAGGGAAGGTCTTTCTATTGCCAGCGTCCCCCCAGTCCCGTGCAAGCCCCGCCGTGTCCCACAGAACAAGGCTCACGCGTGGGGAGGCACACACTTTATTACGACAGATACCATTAGACAACCGACTGCCCCCGTGGAATGGATGCGAGTTAGAAAGGGAGGGCGTCTACCCATTCATTACACTTGTGCCTTCCCTACCCGTGAAGGCACCAGGTTTTAATATAAAAAAAAAAAAAAGAAAATAATGATTTTGGAGGAAGCACTTCACATCTCAAGGGCGACGGAGAAGCAAGGTCTAAGCCCTCTAGGAGCTGATGTTAAAAGCCAAACTAAACACTCAAGGAGTCAAGCTGTGTGGTTTAATCCCGAAAAAAAAAAAATGCATTGCTCCAAAAGTACAGATGTAGGTTCCAGAAGAGACGTGTGCAGTGTTACATCACGCGCCCGGAGCATGGCCATACGCCGTTACAAAAAATGGAGCCCTCCACCCCAAAAATATGCACTCCGCAGCCTATCCAAATAGGGTTTCTGTGCTTCGGGTTGTCAAGACTAAATAAATACTGTGTTTAAATAGAGATGTCTGCTACAAAATGCTCACTTCTGACTTTAAATAAAAACTAAAAAAAAAAAAAAATACCCAAGATTAAATATCTTTAAAATATGCAAGAGAAGAGTGCCAGAATGACAGCTTCCAGAGACTGAAGTGCTTTTGCCTAAGAGACAGAAGGAGCAGACAGCAAGAGAAATAGTTTTCCATTTTGCTGTCCCCTTAGTGCCTGCATGCAAGCAGGTAACTCAGTCTCCAAGTTGATTCAAGCCTTCTCGTGTTGGACAAGAGACTCCAGAAGTTGCAACTCAGTATGTGCGGGTGTGTGTTAGGGGGCAGGGGGAGCAGAGGGGGTGTGCATGGAGGAGGGAGATGGAAAGGGATTAAGCTCTACAATATCCACTAATAGCTGGTGCATGGTAACAAATGAATTCCAAAGAGCCAGACGGCAGTAATGCACCACCCGCCTGCACTGCGATTCAGACTGCAAGGCCGGTACCATGCACGAGTTATGCACAGTATTGTAGAACCACAGCCCTCATTTGGCTCCATTTTTCTTCACCTAAAAAGGAGGACACCTCAATGTGAGGCGTATATCTGTAGTACGTAAGTCACCACCAGCACACAGATACCAGGCATCTTCTTTCTATTCCTTGGGTTTCCCCCAGTACTCTTTGTACATGGAATATAGCACACCTGAAAAAAAAAATACAAGCAATATTAAAGACCTTTAATATACTTTTATTAAAATGTCACTGTCTGTAACCGACCACAGTTCCTAGAAAATGTTAATCTATGTTCTCCTTATCGGGAGCAACCAAAACACACTTGTTAAAATGAAGATCTGCTCTCTCATGGCTGCCCTCACTTCACCGCCCCCCTCGGTGTACCTAGTATAGGGCAAAGCCAAGTGTTGAAATCTGCATTTTTGTTCCAGTTATATCCTGAAATTGGAGGGTTACACTCCAAAAAGACCCTAACAAGCAGCAGCAGCCAACAGTAGCTAGTGCTCAATATGCATAATGTAATGTTGTCTGGGGACAGGGTAGATTACGTCATGAAATGCTAGGTTTCAGTTAGCTGTAGCATTTTAAAAGTTGGTCCCCTCCCTCACATGGAAGCTACTGAATACAAGACAGCGAGACCTGCAGGGCTGCAATCTTAATACAGACTTTCTGCACTGAACGTGTCGGGAAATGGACAGACAAGGTTCTTTGGGTGAATCTGATATCTTTTATTAGACCAACTTAAATAGTTGGAGAACAATTTTTAAGCAAGTTTTCGGGTTCAAAAACCCTTCGTCAGGCTAAGGAAGTTTCAGCAGTTGATGTGTGCGCTTCCTGGAAGCATTTGACAGGAATAATTATGCACATGTAAGGAAGATCATAGTCTTAACTATTCGAGCTTTGTCTTTTTTGTGTGCTTTTAACCCCAACAGTACAATATTAAAGTTGTAGTAAGTTAATTTGTATTAAATGCTCAGCAGCTGGTTAACATCTTCCGCCTAATGATAAGTGACCACAAAAACCCCATATATATAAAAATGCTTCTGCTCTCAACCCTTCATATTTGTTTCAGTGATTATTGTCCTTATCCCATATTTGACAATTCTGAACCTGAAGTTTACTTTCCAACTGTGGAGATACCAGAAGTTTGGAGAACCCGACAGAAAACCCATAAGATACTTGATGTTTGTCCTGTTCTTAGTGAGCCATGAGTTCTTAGCACCTCTCAAAACACCATGGTGTTTAATAAAAACTGTAGTGGCGATGTAGTATAAGGTGCTGGAGCATATGTACACAAGATCAAAAGCTATCCTCAGACTAGGCTACCGAGATACCAGGCTTCCTCTAACGTCATTATATTCAGCAGAGCAACCAGCTTGTAAGCTTAGTCCCAGTAGACGCCAGAGGAAGCCCTTGCAAAGTTAACCATATCCAGTTGCACTGGTTTATATAAAATACCTTTGCGAAAAACTTTGCAAAATGATTGCATTAGCCCCCGTCAAGGAAAAGTTTGCCATTATTCAGAATTAACCAATACTCAAGAACAGCTTTCCGTTTCGGACGTACCACATGTCAGGGCTCCTACAACAAAGCCCTGGGCTCCCACACGCATATGAATCAGGTGAACAGACATCTTCGTGTCTCCTCTGTGTTTCAGTTTGTACAATCCATAGGCTACTATTGCAGTCAAGCCTGCTAATCCTGTAAACAGAGAACAAACAAGACTTTAGGTTCTTCATCTCATAAAATTTAGAGAGAGATCAGCAACTGACCTGAGCACTGTCATATTGAATGTAATATTTGAATGCTTATAATAGTTGCCCATTAGCCAGTTCAGGAAGAAGACAAGATTCATCTTCTTATCTAGGCCATTGCTTTTGCCTACGTGTGGAAGGTCCTAGCTTTGCTCAAAGTCTTAACTCTTGAATTTTATCTGTAGAGGCCTTTAACAAAGTTAACCTAAAAATGACCCTCAAGCAAACATCCCACATTCCGAGAAATCAAACCCTAGGAGCCTTTGAAAAGATTGGAAAGAAAGGAAATTCCCCAAAGTAATTAAATGATCAACCAAAGAAACTGATTACCAAGCAAAAAGAATCTGTTAAGTAAGATCCGAGCCCAAATTTGGGAGTAGTGACAGGTTTGGGTAGGAGGGGCCCAAGATGGCAACTAACTCAGTAAAAACTGTAACCTACTGTCCCAATTTGGAGGTAACCTCACTTGCAGAACAACGAAGGAATGATCGCAAGTGTAGGCCGGATCAGACTGATCACCTGAACCACCCTCTCCGTGAACACGAATCTCTTAGTTCACGCTGAAGCCGCGGAGCACCCGAAAGGGACTGAAGGAAGGGGACTTAGTCCTATCACTGCTGAGCCCAGCCCATTGAACCGTACTACTGAGGCCAACCCATTAAATTGTACTACTGAGGAATGAAACCATAGTTAGGTGTTTGGCTTCTCAGAATTCTAGGATTGTAAGTATATTATGAAAATAATAGTATTGATTCAAATTTAACTTTGAGTTGTAATTGTAGTTGTTTTTGTAATACTAATTCTTATAGCATTGTTTGGGAAGGAAGTGCATTTGGAGCATTGTTTCTGATATATGTAGTTATTGTGTTCTTAATGTTTGTGGTGTTTCTTAAAGCTAAGTAGTGTAATATGCGTAGCAAAGAATTTAAAAATAAAATTGTGTTGTATGAATTAAGTGTGTATTCATTGTGAAATCGTGCAATCAGCTAACTACTCCCCCAGCCAGTGCATCAAACGAATCAGTAAGTTGTGTGGGATTTTCTCTATTCCATAACCCACTAGAGACAAGCACAAAAAAAAATCCCCTATAAAAGTAGTGTTTAGCCCTATGAACATTAAGGAAAGTAACTAGAGAGTGCAAGTACCAGGGCACTATTCATTTTTATTACAGTGACATGTTTAACTTAATCCACAAGTCAGTCCAGACAGGATCACATCCTAATTTTGGCATTCTCTTATAGGAGAACTGAGTTTAGAGAGAAAGAGATATAATATGCTGGTGCAATGACACTCCCTCTAAGCTGACACTGAAACTAGAAACCTCAAGATATCAGGGCTGCTTTGATATCTGTGGCAGTTCCTGACAAGCGCAACCTACCAGCCTCCTTCTCAGACAAAAACCACTGCAGCTCTGGTTCAAATTTTGACTGTGAGGTCCCGATAACATTCATGTCCCAAGAGCGGTGCTAAGTTTCGCAGTGCACATGCCCACAACCTCTAGCTGCTATTTTTGGTGTGTGTGTCGAGTTTGACCTTAATGCACTGGAACATGGGCACGTGACATAAATCATGTGTTCCTTCTCTGCTTTGGAGGGTAGAGTTTGACAGAAGCCACCTTCAAGGAAGGTACAATTCATGTGAACTCTTCTACAGACACTCCTCTAAACCAGTGGTTCCCAAACTCTGACAGACTGTGCACCACCAATTTAAAACGATACAGCCTGGAGTGCCATCAGCAACTTTTTGTCACATAAAGTAATTATAATAAATCTGTTAACACATACTAGGTTAATAGGTTGTCTGTGTACCACTGGGAGTACGCATACCACAAATTGGGGACCACGGCTGTAGAGGAATAATGCATGGGTTTACAGTTTCTGCTTGATGAGAACTAGTGATGTCTTATTTGGGGTCAAATTACCCATGGACAGGTGTTAAAATTATGGGGAAAATCCAAGTTGTTTGGACTTCAGAGTCTGCAAACCTGTTGTTTCAAACCACTTGCAAAAATTTGCACAAGTACAGAAGTTCTGTTATACTGTCAGCATGTTCCAGCAGCCTAGAGCACAATCCTGTGGTCATGGCAACTAGGACTGGGGATGAATACAGTATTTCACGTCTAGACCACCAGCCATAATGTTAGTGTGATGCCTACTTGGTTTCTGTGCAAAGCAATGCTAGGTTTTTCAGTGCAATTCCTAACTGGAGAAGTGTCCACAATAAGCAAAGTGTGTCTGCTGTGTTACAATTCTACTCCAAACCTTTTCTTTGGCAGATAAACCAGGGATTAATGGCCATGAATACTAAACTACTCCCCAAAAACATTTAGACCAGACTATTTTAGCTTTTTCTGCTCCCCTTTTATTGTAAAATCTTCTTTTTATGCTTGAGGAGAAGAGAGGAGAAGGGACTCTGAAGTGGCTGCCAGACTTTTAAGCTTGTGGGAAAATACATTTCTCAGAATATATGCAATCCGCTACCCAAAATGGGAAGTAAAGGGTGTATCCATGCAAGCCAAGTCTTCCAAATGGAAGATAAAAAAAGCAAAGAGTCCTGTTCCTGCTAGGGTATTTAAAAGAGCTGTTAGGTAAAAGTCAGGCACACCCCTTTGTAAGTAAGGCAGGAAGTGTACACTTACTACAAGACTAGGTCTCATGAGGAAGTATCATTTCAAAGTACTTTCCTGTCTGCAGTGACTAAGTTTACTGCATTCACTGCCCTTCATTAGCAGAACTCATTGTGCAACTCTGTATTTTCCCCAGGTTGTTTTATTGCAGAAGACCGGACTGATAGATGAGACTTACCAGCTGGGACAAATGGAGCCTCCCTGGACTTTCTGATCAGCTTGGATGTGGGACTGTCATCAGTCTCATAGGTAGAGAGAATAGATTCCTGGCTGGACGTCATGGTGACTGTGGAGAGGAAGAACAATCTTTGCATGAGAAGCTGGCATTTCCCCAATATTTTTGTTAGTTTGTTTGAAAGACTTCTCTAAAATATAACCCTGAACCATCCAGTAGGTATCTAAAGCATGTTACTTTTCACTATATTTCAACTACAAGCCAAATATTAGGGCTGGAAAACCCAAACTTGACCTGATGAGCCAGTGTGGACCAACTGATACACCAGGCACTTCACTACGTGGACGCACTCCCACGCTAATCGAGTTAAGTCTACAAGCACAAGACTAAGACCTTAAGGAGAACACTTGCATAGAAATATTGCCTGTTAAGTGAGTTAACACAGAAAGTAGTTAGCTAATGATCTCTAGACATCTTGATGTAGATATGACAGCTACTCCCAGCACTTCTATGGTCACCACAGTTGGAACTGGATGCTTCACACCAATGAAAACCTTAGGTCAGAAATGGGAGGGGGAAAAGACTGTGAGACATGCACATGTGTGTGCATGTTCACATAGACAGGACAGCCACCCCCACTCCCCAGTACTTGTGTGCTGCTTTAGTCAGATTGAGCCCTCAAGGGGTTAGCTCGGAGGTCCCGTGGGACACATCTGCTTGTACAGATCAAATCCACTCTCACGACACCAGCGACCTTTGCTTGCTCCGTGCCATTTCATCTGCAAATTAGAAGAGCTCTGGATTGCATCTGAACAACAGCAGCTGCTCCGAAAGGGAAGCGC